TTAATTTTAAATTTCACTATTTTAGATTATGATCCTATACCAATTTATATAATAACATAATTAATAATATAATGATTTAAATATACTTTCAAATGCAAAATAAATTGATATTCTTGTGAAGTTCGTGTTAGTAAGGGCATCATCATAATTGATCTTATCATTAAACAGTTATTGGGATAGAAAGATAATTTCTCATAAAACTTGTTTTATGTTTCATTAAAATCAATTTCTCTTGATCATCACTAATAATTAAACCAATAAGATAAGAATATTTATAACTTTTTTATAAAAATTAAAAATTGTATTATTTATACAATATATTGAAAGATGTAAAACAAGATAAAACTAATATTAAACGGAATTTTGAATTTGAATGATAAAAAAATGAAATTTGAATTGTTATATATAGAATAATTAGATTTTATGACGGTAATTTTTTTTTTGAATAACTTGCTTTTTTGCTAATGATGCAATGATAGAATAACTTGATCAAAAACATAATTTGATTTACCTTTGAATTATTATTTACCAAACTATTATTGAAGAAAATTTTGAATTTTAATAATAAAAAATCAAATTTGAGATTGTTATATAGAATAATTAAATTTTGTGATAGTTAATTTTTTGAATAATTTGATTTTTTTGCTAATTAATTACAAAAATGATAGAATGACTTGATCAAAACTACAATTTGAATTGCAATCTATTTTAATAATTAGTGAGAAAATTAGAAGAAATATTGAATTCTACTTCAAAATATAATAGGAAAAAATTATAATAATAATTTTTTAATATTTTAAAATTATATTTATTTTAAATTTAAATTTATTTTAAATTTATTTAATTTTATGTTGAATATTACAATTTAAAAATATAATATAAATATTAATAGAAATACATGAAAATTATTGTATCATATTTAAAATTGAAATTACAATATAATATAAGTGAAATTATCAGTAGAATATAATATATAAATATGAAATACAAATACTATAAATGCAAATAAAAAAATATAATATATAATAGAAATATTGTAAGACCGAATGCTTTGGTTTTTTAAAAAATATTATTTATTAAAAAATTTTAACATAAAATAGGAAGATTCAATAGAAATATTCAATAAGATATTAAATTATATATAAATATGTTTATATAATATAAAAATAATATATTTGTGATTGTGTTTATGAAGTAGTGAAATACTATATACATATATATTTATAATTTTGCATTTTAAAATCACAGGTTCTACCATTGGGGTTGGGTCCAATGGAAGGGGCTATTTCACCACAATATGATAAATTAAGGTTTGAATCTCCACTAGGAGAGGTACTTAGATTTAGCGCCCAACAGTGTCTTAAACAAAATTGGCTCTAATAAGCGAATACTTATGCTTAGCAAAAGAGGGAAAAAAAAAAATCACACATTGAACTAATCTCAATTGGTAAAGGCTCTAGTCCGCAAAAGGGTCTCTCTAGTCTCCAGTTCCCTCCCCCCCCCCCAAAAAAAATCCTTCTATTTCCCATCTCAACCATTAAGATTGAAATTTGAACAGTTTAGATTTCATATTTTATAAATGATTTTTATTGTTGTTTTAAATTATTGTCATGACTAAAACTTAGTGGTTTAATTTTTTTTATTTTTTAAAACAATTTAGCATTTTATTTATAATTTTATAAAATATGAAATCCAAACCGTTCAAATATGAATCTTACGCTTAAGATATGAAGTTAATGGAAATAAAAAAGAAGGGAAGTGGACAGACGCTTTTCCTCGCTCTAGTCAACCTCGCGCGAAGTTGTGGGTTCAAATCTTAGGTTTGTCACAAATTGGTTCCAATGTTGCGCTGATGTAGGTAAGGCAATTGATGAGATGGCGATGACACATGGCACTGGAGGTGAGATGGCAATGGTAGTTGGAGCCCATCACCGGCAATGAGGTGGTGCCTTGTAGAGGGGCCATGTGGTGGCTTCCAAGAGGTTCCACATGACATTTTAAAATTATTAAAAAAATTAAATTAATGAAGAAAATTTTTTTGTTGGTAAATTCTATTACTAAGTAGTGACAAAAAAAATTTTGTCGGTAAATTCCCTCACTTGCTAACGACAGTAATATTACATTGGTAGTTAGTGTCAAAATTCTGTCTGTAATTCATCGCTTAATACTGATAAAATTTCAATTCTGTTACTAATTTAATTAGTGACAGGCAATTAGCAATGGAAAAAATTTCATTGCTAATTTGATTATGTCAATGATTCTGCCGCTAAAGAGAAGTTTCATCGATTATCACATATTTTTATATGTTTTGACAAGTTGTTTGTTATGAAAAAGGTGCTTGTTAATCTCTACTCCAAACTTTCTAAAATAAAATAGCCAAGTTGTTATTAGCTGTTCAAGTTTAGGAACCACGCAATCCCAACACCATGCCTGTTTCTTTCTCTCCTCTTTTTGTTTCTTTTATGTAGCAAATGGGCATTTGTGTCACTTTAGTGGAAATATGGTAATTGAGGTACCTTTTGAGGGATTGGTTATCTTATAGGTTCTTTTATAGTTATTTTCCCTTTGATTCAATTCTTGTCGCTGCTCTGTACCTTTTAACTGCATAATCACAACACTTCATTTTTTTTTTTCAACCTAAAGAAATCCAATTGGTTTTGTCCTATACTCTCAACTACACGACATGTTCAAACTATAGAATTAGATGTTATTTTTCTGCCATCTTTACTTTTGGAGTTGCAGAGTAAGATGGACCAGCGAAGGTTCAGGAGCCATCTTTTTCTTTTTGGTGTTTCAAAGTAAGATGAACCGTTGGAGCTTTAGAAGCCGTTCGACGTATTGAAGGAGAGGGTATTTTTATACTTTTATATTGTACTTTTCCATCTCTATTTTTTTAAAAAAAATAAATTGGTTTATTTTTTGGCAAAAATGTGGTTCCTTCCGTGATCTGGGGCGTGTGTGACCAGAGCCTTTGCAAATTGAATTAAGATGAACTTGCAGTTTTAATATTCAAAATTTAACATAATAATATTTTACTACTTCACAAAAACAATCACACACATATATTATTTTTACATTATGTAAACACACATATAGTTTAATATCTTATTAAATATTTCTATTTAATTTTCATATTTTATGTTAATATGAATTAATAAATAATATTTTTTAAAAATTTCAGTTCAATAATATTTATATTATATATTTATTTTTTATTTGTATTTCTTATTTATATATAATATTATTGAAAATTTCTCATATATTATATTGTAATTTTAATTTTAAATATGATATAATCATTTTTATATATTTATATTACTATTTAGAGGAAATAAATTTTAAATGTAGAGAAATATTACTTTTAAATATTAAAAATTTATTATTATAATTTTTGCTGTTGTATTTTAGGGAAGATTCCAATATATCCTCTAATTTTCTCACTAATTATAGAAATAAATTCCAAAATTAAATTATATTTTTGATAAAGTTATTGCAATATCATTATAAGATTAGTAAAACAAATCTAGTTATTCAAAATATGAACTGTCATTAAATCTAATTATTTTATATAATTAGATTGTTTGATCATTCAAATTCAAAATTCAAAATTTAGCTTTTGTCATTAGTTTGATGAATAATAATAAATTGTAGGTAAGCTGCAGGCCAGCAATTGGATTCTTTATTGTACAAAATGTCTTGGCTAGGTGATGAAGACAAGAATGGTATTACAAAATCTGGAATGATATAAGCAGTTTCTAATGATGACAACCAAGTTTTTATTCAAAAACAAAATTATGGCCGGCAAAATCAGATTCGGGGAAACCAAACGCTGCCGGCACAATCTTTCTTTTATTGCTCCACTTGCTATAAATAATGGAAACTTGTGAGCTAAATTCTTTTGTGATAAAGGGACGGATACGGATCGGCTAGAAACAAGTTAGGAAACTAGACGAACGATCGAAGGTAGGACCTTAAGAGAACCTGTCTCTTACAACCCTAGCCATGGAAACACCACAAGGATGATTAGTCCTTGATACAGTCAAGTATTCCCATGAGAATACGAGGCGGCAAGCAAAGCTCACTCAAGAGAAATAAAATTCTCTAAAATTCTTTCATTCAAATCTGATCTCCAATTACAAAAAACGTAGCCTTACATAGGCAGCAAAAGAACAATTTAGAATAAAAAAAACCTAGGTCATAAATGCCATATATGTGCCTTAATGATGATTGACTATCTTGGTTGGCACCAATTAAGGCTAAAGGAAATAGGAAATTACCTTTTCTTGAAGAAAAAGGCTGCTACCTAAAAATAGGAAACTAACATAAAATAGTCTTATGCAATCTTTGACCAAAAGGCCTTATTTAATGCAAATAAAAATGGAAACTTAAAAAAAACGAAATTAAACCATAACTAATACATAAAGACGCCTTCTTGATGCTTCTTGAATATTCTTGGACCTTCCAAATGGATCTTCATAATTACTATTCATGCCATAAGCATGCATGGGCCTTTTAGGCATCCATTTGGGCTTGAATATATTTGAATCACGTTCTGAAACTCCCATGGTCTATAACAAAATGCATTTGGGCCCCAATTTACAAGATTATAGCTCTAATGGATTCCTCCAGGCACATATAATTGTGTTGGGTCTTTAATAACATGAGAATTGGCTTCAAATGCTCCTTTTGGGCTCTTAAAACACGTACTCTTGTCTTGCTCAAGGTCCAAGTATTTATACTCCAACGACTCACATGCCATGGTGGCTTTCGGGGTGGCCTTCCATATGTCACATCAAGCTCCGCACGTGTCCATGTCATCATCCAAGAAATGATCCATGTCCTCCTCCATGTAAGCATTCTTGAGTTATAAATTTCCTAAATACTCTGGAGGGCTTGTTGGGCCTCTAATTGGATGAGTGCTACTTGGGCTTCATAACCTCCATATTGTATGCTATCATTTTGGCTATGTTCTAATAGCAGATCAATACATTAGCATTCTGATGGCTGAAACTATCACCGTACAAAATGTTGAGTCAGAGAATGAGGCATACGATGAAGACTATGAACAACTTAGTAAAGAATGTAAGGAACTACTACTTTCACTTCCCAAAAGAAAAGAATGGGTCACCCCAAATGTTTATCTTTACCGAGACATTTGGTATGCACCGGCTGCTATTCAAGCGATATGCTCTTTTCAAAGGCACTTCCAAGCAAAAGACAGTGAAATTGTTATTGCCACCTTACCAAAATCTGGTATTACTTGGTTGGAGGCACTTACATTTGCTATTGTGAATCGTAAACATTTCTTTCCTTGGCAAAGTAACCATCCTTTGCTTAGTTCCGATGCACATGAGCTTGTTCCTTTCCTTGAGTTCCATCACTATGCAAATAACCAAATTCCTGGTCTCTCCATGATTCCCGAACCAAGGGTTTTTGGCACACATGTTCCATTTCATTCATTGCCCGATCCAATAACCAATTCCAAATGCAAGATAAGCTACTTATGTCGAAACCCTTTTGACAATTTTGCTTCATTTTGGTTTCACCTGAACAAAATCACACCACCATCTTTACCATAATTATCATTTGAGGATGCATTTGAGAGGTACTCCAAAGGGATCAATGATATCGGTCCATTTTGGACAAATATGTTGAGTTATTAGAGAGCAAGCAAAGACACACCAGACAGGGTTCTGTTTTTAAAGTATGAGGATTTGCAAGCTGATATCAATTACTACTTGAAAAGAATTGCTGAGTTCTTAGAATGTCCATTAAACTTAGAGGAGGAAAGTAATGGCACTATTAGAAACATAATTGAGCTTTGTAGCTTTGAGAAGATGAAGGAATTGGAGGTAAATAAGACTGGTAAATTTGTGCACAAGTATGAAAGCAAGGATTTAATTTGTTGAGGAAAGGTAAAGTAGGAGATTGGATGAATCATTTTTCCTCTTGGATGGACGAGGAATTGTCCAAAGTTATAGAAGACAGGGTGGGTGGGTCCGGTCTATCGTTTGAAATGCTCTCTTCAACCAGATAAACTATAAATCATCAAGTATCTACCTCTGTATAATAGGTATGAAGTTTACATTAGTAAATGAGTTTAGGTATGAAGTTTACATTTGTAAGTGAGTGGTACAGGCCCATCAAGAGAGAAAGAAAGAAAGAGAGAAGAGACGGAGAGAGGTGAAGTATCACTTTATTCAACAGAATCTCAATTTACAATGGTAGGTTTTATTATACTGTCAAAGTCTTGAATCTAATCAGTTCTATGCTCCGCTTTTTCTCTCTGGCTTTACTTCTTTCGCATTTATGAGGTTCGGAATGTAACTTCTTTGACCCTTAGTTTTTAAATTTGATATGATTTTTGTTTTTTGTTTTTGTTGTAGATCTTTTGAAGTTTGGATATACTTCAAAAGTTGATTGTCCATGATTTTAAAGTAGGCATGTATTCAGGTATCGTATGTTTCCGTCCATGATTATATATTTATGTTGTTTCTTTATTTTTATTACAGCTAATTAAGTAGGTTGTTTCATTTAGTTTTTTTCTTTTTTTCATATTTTGGCTATACTTGAAAAGTTGACAAGAGCATAGAACTAATATATTGTATATGATTTAATTTAGACAGTTGTAATTAGGGTGTTAGTTGTTATTTGTTGTAGAATTGAAATAAATTGATTTCATTAAAATTGTTGTAATTATATGATAGAGACAAGTTTGTTATTTGTCAATAGTAAGATAATTGTGTTGTTTGGTATTTGGCCCTCATGTCACATTGGTGGTGAAATTAAATTATATTTAAATTTAGAATGTTGCAAAGCAGTGCTGATGTATCCCTATTTTATAATATATTTTTATGTATAATTAAGGGACTTTATAATGTTTGAAGGGTTTAAAATGCAATAGATACTCATATTTTGATTTAAGGAAATTATATGAATCAATTGCTTAAAAGTGCATTTTTTTATTATATTTTATAATTTTCCTTTTGAAAGGTATCTCTGCTTTGATTCCAGGAAATATTCTATCAAGCAAAATATGGACCCCTTGAAAAACTACATTTGTGGCAGCCACGTGGCATTACAAGAGGATTTTCTAATTATCTAATTAGAAATTATCCAAAATATCTAGCCAGAAATCTCTTATCTTCCATTATAAATTAAAAGAGCTTGAATAATTAATTTCTTTTGTGGATAATTCCCTGATCGTATTTTGAATTTGAATAAATATTTAATTCATATTCCATTATCTATTTAATTTTTCAAATATCCACATTATCATTTTTATCCTCTTTCTAAACCCTAACCCTAATTCATCCTACCACCATATCCTTATTCAAATTTGAGATATTATCCTTTTATCCAATATCATTTAAATTCAAAAGCTCTTTTACTATGGTTGCCATGAAGATCACACCAAATCAAGAGAATTCAAATTCAAAGTTCTATTAAGATTACAAGATAAAAGAAGATAAAAGATCAAGTTAGAAGACTCAAGGGTTTTCTCATCTAACAAGGACAGATTCAAAAAATATAAAAGGAGATCAAGGGAGCCTTGGAGAAGGAACAGAGCCATCTATACTACACAAGCACAAGCATACACTTGGCTTCCTCTTGTGTCCAACTGTTTCACTGTCTTCTTTTCATTATTCTCTTTTTATCATTATGGTGTCATCTAGCCATATGTGTGGCTAGTCCTCTTTGTTCCCGAGGACAAGATGATGTGGCTTGAGTTCCTGTTTATATTAGGGAGTTTGTTAGTTTTCTTATTTTAATCTACTAGTATGTTGCGTTTATGAATTTCCTAGGTTAGGATTTTTATTTCTTTTGTAGACTGATATTTGATTTGTGTTTCAGTTGAACAATTATATTTTGAAGCTTTTAATGAATATATTTTTAGTTTCCTCATGATTCTATGAGTGTTTATCTTTATAAATTTCTATTTTGATTTGCATAAGTAGTTCATGCTTTAGGGTTTTTGATAGATAACTCTCTTTAGGAACAAGATATAATTGTTTAATTAAATTCACAACTAAGTGGTTCTTAAATGATTAATTGAAAGGTGATTATATGCTAGTTCTCTAGGTATAATTATTAATTAATTAATCAAGACTTAGATGTTATCTAGAGTTTTTCCTTTTGACTTAGTAATTGATTTTATGCAAACTCCTCATCCTTTTGAACTGTGATAGCCACTCATCAACATCTTTGGGAAGTGTATCATTCTGGTAAAGTCTTCGTTCCTTTCGCTTCCTTTTACTTATTGCTATTTTCTTTTATTTTTGTCAATTTATTTTCTTAAACAAATCAATCAATTTTCTTTCCTACTCCTTCCTTCTTTACATCACGTTTTTCTTAATTTAAAAAATTTTCAAAATTTTAACAAAGCTCCTCATAGAGAGAGACGACCTCGATTGACCTCTATACTATATAGGGTTAATTTAGTTAATTCATTTGAGAGCTTACACAACAGGACGATCAAATTTTGGCGTCATTGTCAAGGAGCCAAGTTTATTTGACTCATTTTTAATTTTTTTAAACGTGATTTTACTGTGCTGTGAATTTCTGTGCATGCCTAGGGATACTGCTTTAGTCCCTTTTGATTCTAAGCCTAAAAAAACCTTTAGGTTGCGTAGAAAACAAATTTTGCATAACATCGACCAAGTTAATACTTCCAATAAAAAGGAAATTAATGAGTCTAGTTCAGCTAGTAACTCTGATTCTGAATCTGTTGGCTCTGTGCAAAATTATAAAATTGTTTATAACAACCTAATGGATGGTGAACGTGATCCTGAGGGTAGGCCTACTAGGACCATAAGAGAATTAACATCTTCAATTGCTGACTATAATCCTAGACATGCTGCCTATCCTACTTTTAATTCTAATTTTGAAATCAAAGGTTATGTACTAGTTAACTTGCCCAAATTTCATGGTCTTGCAAAAGAGGACCCACATGAACACTTGATGAGCCTACAAATGAATTGTGCAACCACGAAACCTGCCGAGGCCAATATTGATGAGATTCAATGGAGAGTATTCCACTTAACTTGAGAAGGAAAAGCGAGAGAATGGTATCTTAGGCTACCAAAACACCTTGTTAATACATTCAATTCATGGAATAACTTGAAGAAAGCCTTCCTAGAGAGATTCTTTCCTGCATCACACACGGCCAGCTTGAGAAAAGAAATTTATTCGGCCAAACAAGACCCACAGGAGACATTCGATGAGTTTTAGAGCTGCTTTCAAGAGCTACTAAGCAAGTGCCCTTATCATCAAATCCCTGAAGAACATCTTATTCAATACTTTTATGAGGGATTATTAGGGCATGAGCAAGCTACTATTGATTCTACCTCGAGGGGATCTTTATTAGATCTTACAGTACAAGATGCATGGGAGATGCTTGAGAAAAGAGCAATGAATAGTCAACAATAGGGTACTAGAGACCGAGGTAGTCAGACAACAAGTCAACATGCCTCTTTTACATCTAATCATGAGATGAAAAATGTAGCTGCACAATTGGCTGCTTTAACCATAGCAGTAAATGATATTAAAGCTAATATGGTCTCCCCTTCTCATGCTGCAACGCGTGAACTGGTGCCTACCAGCTGTGAAATATGCAACTCTTTCACACATGTTATTGCCACATACCCCTATAATGTTGAAGAGGTTTCTGCTATGTACCAAGGGAGACCTAATAAAAAATGGGACCCTTTTTCTAATACTTACAATGAGGGGTGGAAGATGAATCCAAACCTTAGGTATGGTGCAGGAGACAATAGAAATAATCATGAAAAGTATCAACCTCCTCCGAGACAGACACAACTATATGGGAACTTTTAGCATGAACAAGCTCCCAAGACAAATGATCAACTTAGTGTTCTCTTAAAGGTTATGCAAGATCTTACTAAAAACCAAGTTGCTCTAGAAACGAAGGTTGGCAATATTAGTGAATTTGTGACAAAGTTGTCTAATAGCTAGAATGAGCAGCAGGCAAGGGAGGGAGGATATATTCCCTCTAATACTGTCATTAATCCCAAGCCTTTAAATGCTATCACATTGAGGAGTGAAAAGCAAGTACACTTTGATGAAGGAGATGACAAAAAGGATACTACTGAAGGTGTCCAAATTGATGTCACTAATGATATGATTGAGCTAAGAAATGACGCCACTGAAGATGTCATTACTACTCCTGCTGTGCAATCAGAAAGCTTGAAGGAAAAGGCACTTATGAAGCAAACCCCCTCTACTGCACCTAATGAGGTAAATATTCAAGACATCTCTTTTCCTAATTCTTATCTTTCACGTAAAAGGATTTCTGAAAAAGAGCAAGATAAAGAGGTGTTTGACTTGTTTAAAAAGTTAAGGTTTTTATTAGAGTTAATTCAAACCATGCCTAAATATGCTAAATTCCTTAAGGACTTATGTACTCATAAACTAAAATTTAAACCTAATGAAAGAGTTCAAATTAGCTCTAATGTTTCTGCACTATTCAAACCTCAACTACCAGTTAAATGCCAAGATCCTGGATGTTTCACTATACCTTGCACTATTGGTAAAATAAATATTAACCAGGATTTATTAGATCTAGGAGCTGCAATCAACGTTATGCCTAAATCTATATATACATCACTTGGAATTAAGTATATAAATCAACTAGTGTGGTGTTGCAACTTACTAATAGAACTATTAGGCATCCTGATGGCATTTTAGAAGATATTCTTGTACAAGTTAAAGGTTTGGTATTTCCAGCTAATTTTTATGTGTTAGATATGTCTAGAGAAACATTGCATGATGGCACGTTAATACTTGGTAGACCTTAGAAGTGGTAGATAACAAAATCAATTTTAACATGTATGAGGCTATGAAACACCCTTATGAGGATTATTCACTATTAGGAGTAAATGAAATTGATTTATCTATTGATGAAGCAATTGATGAACATGATTCTAATTTGAATAAATGGTTGGAAATTTGTTCTCTACTTTCTTCCTCTACTTCTTGTTCTTGTGATGATGAGATTATATGTGCTGCTTGTTTGGAAATTGATAATTGTCTTTCCTTATGTGATTAATCTATATCTTCATCTCTTTCATTGCCTTTTACAAGCCATGATTTCGAGGAAGGTTTTGTTTTGAATTTTGCATATTTGAAGGAGTGGGTAGATGATCAAATTGCAAGTGAATCCCCTTATCTATCTATTCCACCTTCTTATCAATTTGAAACACAAAGCCAACCACATATTGAAGGAGGGAACATTATACCAATTCCTCTTGATTCCTCCTCCTTTTCTTCATCCCCCATGTCTTCCTTTGCATCCTCATCCCCCATGTCTTCATCTTATTTTTCTTCTATCCCTGTGGATACATTACCTTTTGCGCAACAAATTGCATTAGAGAATAGTGAAGGATCTAAGCTCAACAAAGCTCTGAACAA